CTAAGGCAACAGTATAGTCCATTTGTAACCTTGTATACATTGTAAGTCATATAGCACACACTCATCTTTGTGTGCCCTTATGTTTTGAAACCTTTATGATATCCTCAGTTCAAATGTTCTCCTGCCTTGAAAATCTTAAGCATTTAAAAGCATCATATTATATTTTATAAGTTTAGTCTTGAGAAAAACTAGTAAACTTGTTAAGGCCAAATATAACAAAAAGAAAGAATAATTAGAAAAACACATGCCAAAAGGGACCTACATTTTTAAGCTACCAAACACAAGGCAATTATCTCCTCTGTCTTCACGAAGAAGAAGACTCTCAAAGCATTAAAGGCTACTAAACAGGGAAGACCGAATACAAGACTCTTTCTCTCACAATGAACATTTTATCTATACTCATACGTACGTCAAAAAGACTTAAATCTTGATGATAATAACAAGTGAATCTTTCTCTAAACCAAAGACGATCTTCTTACACGCTCAAAATCTTTCGTATGCTTTCATTGCAAATATTTTTGTAACTTGAACTTATATCTTTATATTCTTGTTTTATGATTAAATTTCTTTGTAAGCAAACTTAAAACCCAGAGAAGCTATGACTATAGAAAATACTTCGGTACATGATCTTGGGATAGATCACTATTATAAGGTTATATCAAGAAATGTGTAAATGAAAAAGTAGCATTTGTTGATACTCCATGCTCATGCTCTTAGTTACACCAAACTAAAATTTTTCTTAGTATCTACCTTTTCATTTCTAAACAGAACCCAATTTATTTGGTTTCATATAGTAAAAACCACATCCCGATATATACACCTCCATATTATATTTGGTTGCCTTTTTTTTTTCAAGCCAAACAAAATGAATAACTTTTGATATATCTTTCACTTTCAGGGTAGAAAAAAAATTTAAAGTATTTGATACTCTCCTTAAAAAAAATTCAAGGAGAATGTTGATATGACAGTATTGTGTCCAAGTCGTGTATCTCTAAATATCCTTAATTTAAAGATACTTTTTCACAAATCTCGATCGCTAAACCAATAATGCCGATACAGGTCTGAACTTAATCGAAGATTGAAGGAATAAAAACAGAACTAAAATAAGGACAGACAGACAAAAAAGAAACCTAGAGAACAATAGCTCATGTTTCTGGCAACAATAAATAGAAAACAATCGTGAACCCCACCCTTTCATTTCCAGGTGTACCACTCTTTTTTGGTACGTTTGTTGTTAACTCTTACAATTACAAGTTCATCTAATTGAGCAATATCCTATTGAAACAACGACCTTTTTCATTCCCATATTCCCTGTAGCCAACCACCTTGCACTAGTTTTAGTCAAAAGAAAAAAAAAAGAAAAAAAGGAAGAATTTTCGTATAGTAATTAAGAACTTTACGTAATAGTAATAAAAGATAAACACTATCGAGCTAGTTGATTGATTCGGATTCCATATGGTTAATCAGAATGGTTAAAAAATTGTACAGCTTAACATTTGGTTTCATTATGGAGTGATTATTATTATCTTGATTTTAAACCAGCAGTTTTGAATTTCAATTTTCAAACATGAATTTTTTTATTTTATTTTTGTCATTCTTAAGAATCTTATCCTTCTTAAATATAATACCTCCCTTGAGATGTCTGCATATTGAAAAAAGCGTGGAAGAACAAAATATGTACCTTGAATCCACTTAAGAAGATGCCAAACAAGGTATCTTCCTTTTGTTTATTTTTAGGGTGGGATGGAATCTAACCTACGCAAAACGACAGGTTAGCTGATGAGAGCAGATCAAACCCCCATTTAACTAACATCACCTCAAATACTTAATCTATTCGGCTGGACCTTCTTACAAAGTTTAAGTAATTTTTCTTTAGCTATTTACAAAATTATATCTATTATTTTTTGTAAGAAGTTATTTTTTATTTTTTATATAATAACTTATCTTAATATTAAATTAAAAAGAAAAATATTAATTCCAAGTAAAAGTATATATAGATGAGTTTCTTTTCATTCCTATCATTGATTTTCTTACAAATGAATAAGATGAATTATTAGAAGATATTATATTAAAAAATAACAATAAATATAAAGAATAATCATCTTAAATAAACAAATCTTTCTCTCTTTTTTGTATATAGTCTTTTAGTTATTATAGTTATACATATTTTATTTCTTTTCAATTCTATATTTAAAAATCATTCTACTACATATAACAGTTTAATCTCTTTTTTTATTATTTTTATGTTCCAAAATTAAAAAAAATTATAAGTAGTATGAACAAGTATCAAAATGATGATTTGTAAATACAATAACTAAAATTTTAAAATTTATTTAACCATAAAAATAAATGGTAATTAAGTTTATATTTTTTTCATGAATGAAATTTTTTTATATTTGAATTATTTACGGTTATTACGGACGGTAAAATCTCTTCACCAAATATTTAATATTATTGGTATCTAAGATTCGAATTTAATATTCCTAATTAAACTAGATTAAAATTTTGTCAGTTGAATAATAAGGTTGTTGATAAACTTCAGTAATTTATGAAAAGTATTAATTTTCATTTATTAATTGAACAACACAAATATTTTGTATGCACGTATATTTTCTAGTAAAATAATGTAATACTTTTTCTTTTGGGATTATGGACCAATTTGAGTTTTATAACATTAGTGGATATGATTGATAATTAATTTTGTTCTTTTTCAATCTTGAAATATTAAAAAATTGGTTAAATTAACAGCTAATGGGCATTTGTGACTGCCATAAAGCAAAGATGTATTCTAAATAAGAACGTAAACATGATGTATATATAGGGCATCTTGAAGTAAAAAGCCAAAAAAGTGGCATTGCTTCACCGTCCACAATTTCCCTACATCTTACACATCAAATCCCAATGTTCTAAAACAAATACCCCCTCTCAGTTAATTCATCAAACATTTTGCAGGCACTATCCAAGCACACCAATAAGAAGCAAAGGCATCCAAGAGCCCATTACATGTGGGTCCTAAATGTCCCTGAAAAGGAAGAGGCTTCGTCGGAAGGGTTGACGACAACATGGACACTAATGGAGTGCCATGGCTTGTTTGAAGACAAGATGGATGTACAGAGAAGAAGAGCAACTTTGCATGTTTCATTTTTCTCTTAAGTGCAATGCTTGTCTCCAATACTACTTACTGCAATCGCTATGTCATTTTGTTTGACGAGAATCAAGGTTTGGTCGCATTACATTTCTAACTTATTGGATGATACATTACTTTTTACTTCTAGAAATATGAAAATGTGAAAAAAAGAAAAAAATATTTCGAGGCCGATAATACTTAAATGGATGCTTTTAAAGATAGTAGTAACATATGTATCAAATTTTATAATTTTCGTGATAGTGAATTGGGCGTTGGTTCAAAACATTTGCTTGAATGCATTATATTGATCTTATTAGATGCAACGTCCAATTTTGTGAAAACATTATGCGTACAACGCAATTTTCATTTGACGTTTGATGAGACTTGAAAAGTTTATTGATACATGATAACATACACTCTTGACTCTCTCCAAAGTTTTTTAGAAGAACAATTTTCTATTAAATTGACGTGTTCACCCATACACAGGGAACAGAAAGGTCTTTTTCAAAATGGCCAGAGGAATTTTATACATGAAAAGAATCCTTTATCATGTACATGGAAAAGATCTATATTTTGGTAAATAGCAAGCAAAACTTCGGTTTCTATGCAAAATAAGTGGTTTTATATAATAATTGTCTAGAAAAGAATACGAATACTCTTTTTTTGAACCATTCTTAGGTAGTGACTCCTTCAATTACAAATTTTGTCCGGTAGTATTAATAGTTAACTTGGACTGAATATATTCCCAAACTTTTTTGAACTATAAATTGGCAAGACCAAAGATATGACAGGACTCAACTCAATGCAACCTGCTACAATCGTCTACTGACATTGGTTCAAACCTTTATGGAAGAATCAGTATTGGTTAAGGATCAGCTAATCTGCATCCTGAGGTTTAGAAACAAGATGTTTACTGGGTCTAATCCTTGGGATGTAGATTATCCCTTCCTTCTGTTATGACCAATTTATAGATCATTTAAATCACCACTTCAATAAAATCAACATCCAAGGGATGTGGATTATCACTAGTGTTTGTTGTATTTAATTGCACTATTGGAGTTCCTTCAGGGGACTGCTGGTGTACCTTGAGGCATTGCTGCGGATCAAATGAGAGATTCTAGTGTACCTGTGCCATGAAAATGAAGATACATGCTACAGGTAAAAGATGCACTGTGTACATGACTGAGAAGAGTGTTGTGGTTTAAGAGAGGTAACAGGAAATCTTAACCACAAGATTGTATGTAAAAAAGTGAAAAATATTACATTACTATAAAGCTTTTAAGGAAGTTTTAATCTTAACGAATTATCATATATTGATTCAAGTGATTAAGGTTGGTCAGTTAACTCTTTCTCATCCTTCTTGACATCATTAAAATCTTATTTGGTTGACAATTTTCTTCTCTTAGATTTTCTTTTTGGGTGTCTAATGACTAGAAAGTATTCTCAGAGAGTTTTGAAAGTTTCTCTACTAAAAAAACATTATATTTCAAGTAGAAAAATTCTCAAAAACATTTCTTTAGTTTGTAGCTAAACAAGCCCTACATGTATATATTGGAGACCTACCTAGCAAAAAAAAAAAAACATTTTTATATAAGAGTATGAGAGTTAAGTGTATAACTGATACATGAAATTGCACTGAAGTTTGCACTTGTCAAACTGCATTCTTACAAATATCTAGACCCTAAAGTAGTGAGCAAATATTTTATTCTATGTGGATTGCCAGAAATAATAGAGAAGCACCGTTTTTGTTGTTTATGTCTGCTACTTTTACAACATTTTCAGAAAGGTTGAACATGTTTAGCACAGGTAAATTAGGAATAACGAGAGGTTCTTCTACAACAACTGTAAATTTTGGAATTTATGAATCACCATTTCATGCTTTCTGCATCACTTCTATTGTTTCTTCCCTGCTTTCTCTGAAGTCCTTCCCATCTTTGAATATCAGAAACTCGATCATCTCCTCACGAAAAAATATGAAACTTCCACAAATATGTGTTATGTGTAAGATCCAAAGTCTTTTCCAACTACGGAATTCCATGCAGGTCCATATGCTTCATCAAGTTTCTGTGAATCAAATTAATTAATTAACTGAGATAGTTTCTTATATTAATTAATGATTAAATATGACTAATATGCATTGTCCCTTAGTTGCGAGTTATACATACAAACTAATTAGTGTTTAATTTTCATAGATTCTTAGTATACAAACTTTACATTTTCATTTAATTAGAAATAATATTTAGTTTGATTTTAAAAATGATTATTATAAAAATATATTCATTTTTTTAAAATTATTATGAAATCAATATTTTTATTATATATGATATAAATCTATAACGGGATGATGCAAAAATCATTATAATCTGAATATTATAGTGGAATTTATTATACTCAGTCATGTAGTTATTGAGTTAATTACAATTACAAGGATTGACAAATATATAGACTAATAATTTAATTAATTACGCATTTCATTTATGTCGCTAGCTACAGATATTATGATTTTGAAGCTTCATCCTATTTTATAGGTTCTAATAATTTTTTTCCTATTGAAAAGAAAAAAGTAAAAGAAACATAATAAAATTTGTGTAGGGTTAAGTATGTTTTTAGTCCCTTTCATGTGAAATTGAAAATAGTCTTTCTCGTCGTAATTCACATAAAAATGATCTTTATATTTTTGAAATGAGTGAAATAGGTTCCTATTTTAAACATTGTTAAATATATACTTGACATGTCTTGTATGACTCATTCATTATTTGATACATGTAATTATTTAAAAAAGTAAAATTAAAAGGTGTCAAGTTTTTAAAGTCATTTAAATTTGCATTTATAACATTTAAAAGTCATTTAAAAAGAAATTTAAAATTATCTATCATTTATAAGTCATTTAAACTTCTCTACCTTAATTTTCGGAAATGAAAACCCTAATTATGGTGTATCATTGTCGTGCACTGCCGTTGTGCACCATCGTTGCACTCGTTAGTCGAACCACAAAAGAAGAGAGAACGGAAAGTAACTGTAACGAAAAAAAAAATTGAAAAGTGGTTGTGACGAGAACTGAAGAGTTTTGGTACGTGAGGAGAAAAGAAAAATTTCTACTTTTTAATTTTATTTTTTTAAAATAATATGTTGAATAATTTCTATTTTTTTTAAAGAAGAGTTTTTTTTTTAATAATTACATGTGTCAAATAATAAATGAGTCATACTATCTCTGTTAGACAAATTACCGTATATTTAATCCCGTTTAAAATAGGAACTTATTCCAATCATTTCAAAGATATATGGATCATTTTATGTGACCTTTGACAGATAAATTATTTCCAATTTCACATAAAATTACAGGACTATAAATATTCTTAACATAATTTTATATATGTTAAAATCAAATTATTTATCCATTTAATTTGGAGTAGTTAAGTGAAAAGTTTATTTTCAACAAAAAATATTTGACTTTATTAATTATAAAAAAATATTTTGATTTATTTGTGTTTTCTTCTCTTTTAATAATCATGACAAGAAATTATCCAAAAGAAAACATATAACTTCTACGTAACTTGAAATGAAAGAATAGAATATCTTACGGCTTTATGATGATTTAGTGATTCTATATTTATGTGCGCGTGCGTTCTTTTATCTTTCTTTCTCCAAAAACTTTCTAAGATTTGAAAATTATTGAATACTATACTATAGTAGATATTGTGAGATTGCATTGAAATATTTTTAAAATAATTTGTTCCTCTTGCAATTAACTTTTTGTCCAAATACGACAAAGGAATCAGAATTTTTTCTACTCACAGAACTATGAAGTCTTTTAGGATGATGCCTGCTATGGTATAGACTCAACTTCAACCAACCTTCTACTCTATCCAACCTAATTTTTTTTAACGATTCAAGTTTTTTTTTTTTTTTCAAATTTAATCCATTATCTTTTATAGTGTTCAATTGAATTGAGATTAAGTTATATGTTTTTAAAAATACATTTTTTATTGAAATTTTTTAACTTTTAGGATATTTTTTAAACATAAGCTATTTTAGGATATTTTTTAAACATAAGCTATACTACTTTATGTTTTGAATAATTTAATATTTTAAAAATATATGTTTAATTAATAGAATAATAAAATAAAATAAATAATAATTATATTATTATTTTTTAATATTTTTAATCAAATTAGGTTACGTATCGGATTTAATATGTAATTATCAGTTATCCAATACAACAAATTTTCTAAATATGCTTACGTTATTTATTTAAGTCATATTTTAGGTCCATAATTGTAAAAAGAAAAATATTTTTTTGTTGAAATTGATCAGAGCATACTTCTTTTGGAACTTGAACTTTTGGCTATAATACATTTATAGGAACGGAATATTAACATTCGTTTTACTTTTTGTTTGTGTGGCACTGGCACCATTAGAGCAAAACAAATCAGCTATAATATATACAACAACCAAATCTACATTAATTTCATTTTTTTTAAGTAAACAGTATACCCACATTTTATGTGTTTGTGTGCGTTTTTTATTTTACTAAATTAAAATTTAATATATATATATATATATATATATATACTAATTTTAAAATATAAATATTTATTTCTAAAATTATATATTAATGAAATCAAATTAACCTGTGAAGTTAAAAAATTGACAATTTGTATTTATTAATTTATATTCAAGAAAAGTGATTATTACACCATAATTTAACTTAGCGATTCATATATATTATAGAGATTTTTTATTAAAAAATTACCATAACAATATTTTTAACTATATTCTATACTCTTATAAATTAAAGCGTTATTTATTTACGTATCACAAGTATAAGTGGTATTGAATTCGTTTGATCTTAAATTTAAATATTATAGATGAAAAAGAATATAATAAAAATGAGAAGACCTCGCTAAAATAAAATAAAAAAAGTAGTTATTAACAGAAGCGATAAATATTCTACATTAATGACCGATAAAATAAATTAAATGTAATTTACCCGATAAAAATTTATTATGCGCTGTAATGAGGATCATGAGACAAAGATGCATGTTCATGCACAGCAACCAGAAAAATAAAAGTTGAATGGATTGGATATTTTAAGATTGACCTGTGATGAAATGAGCAATGGACGGAGAATCAGAAACTTCGCGTGCATCGAGAGCTTGGTGAGTTAATTCCATGACACAGTTCTTCATCCCCTCTGACATGTCTGTCTCTCTCACCACAGCTTTTCCTTCCACCATCTCAAGCACCATAGGCAAACACACTTCACTCCATTTATACCACAAAAACTAGGCCTTATGGTTGCCACAGACTCCAACTCCTAAGAAGAACCACGCTGCTAAATCTTCCTATTTCGTTTTGTTCTTTTCTGTTGTGTTGGCCTCAAAAAATTCTTTCATCATAAAAAAAAAATGAGATTTGTACTCATTTGGGGATGTTGTAGCACTAATAATGTTGTGCTCCCTGTTTCAATCACAAGTTACCATAAACCTTAGCTGGCCTATTTATTAGTGACATTTTGAACTGGAAGAATTTTATCTTTGTAACATATCATGTTCATACACACACAAATAATTGCAGTTCCGATTACTTTGCAGTTGTATTTGCATTGCCGGCTAATGTGGGCCAATGTGTGGTCCTCAATCATAGACTATATCACGTGATGCGGTTTGCACTTTAAAACTCTGACACTCAGCATTGAAGTAACCCCATTTTTGAAATGCTTCAAGTGTATATCTAACTTCTGATGAACTGATACTAGCTAACACATAGCTGGAAATTTCAATGAACTTTTAGTTAAACTAAGCATCGTTGTTGTGCTGGAACTGGATCAATGATTGCTCAAGTTCTCCCCTCGTCAAAAATTGGAGCAAAGAAATGTCGCTGGTTAAATTCGTAAAATGGACTGTCCCCAATTGCACATCAAGTGTATTGAGATCTCTAAAGGATAGAAGTGATTTGTGGACACCAAGCTAGTGTGCCACCATCTTCAAATCATGGGTACAACGAAAAAGAATGATTCAACTTCGACCCCATCTAGCACATCTGATTGACCTAATTGTAAAAGCTTAGCTGGTATTCTACCATTACATTACATTATATTATACCAGTGCTAGTAAAATAATAGAAATTTGGGATGGCTTAACAAACAAAATTATACCATGAGATAGGCAAAAGGGAAATTATATTCAACTTGTCGCCAAAAAGATTGACAGCAAGTAATTTACGTAGTTTTATAATGACCAGTACCATCAAATATTCCAAATTCTGAATTAAAAAGCAAGGAGAAAATAATATTACATTTGGACTTAGATACCATGGCAAACAAGTAATGAATCTCACGGAAAAGCTCCAAAACCGCAGATTTATATAGTAATGGGAAGAAATCGTAATGAATCACAGCTGATAAGGTAATCAATTCAAAATTTCAAAGCATAAACGAAATAGCAAAGATTCCTAGACCATCCCCTGTTTAACCCTGTTACATTATTATTATAGACAAATGCGAAAAAGAATACAGTATTGGCGATGAGATTAGTCCTAGAAAACCCCATCAACTTTACACACAACTCACATGGCCAACACTTACAACATCACTCACTTCACTCTTAAAAAAAAAAAAAAAACATTTTTTTTACACGACCCAGATCTTAGAAGTAGAAAAACATGAAAACCAATAAACTGGTATCACCAATAGTTGTGATATATGATCAACAACTAACCTTTGCTCTTTAAGATCGTAATCAGAGATAAGTTTCAATTTCGTGTATATTTTTGTCGAAAAAATATCTGTTGAAATATGTCGATATCTTCAATAAATTAACATGAGAAAATGTACAATGGTCACCCAACATTTGCGGGAAGATATCATCAATCTCCGATGAAAAATCAAGAAAACCAATAATTTTGGTATGACCATGAAAAAAGAAAAATTATATTTTCCGAAAGGTATTCCTTTTTTACGTTTTCTTTCTTTCTTTTCTGTACCGGAAAATAAATAAAGCTCCGAAACGGAAAGATGTTCGACTCGATGCGGACTCAGCGCGTGGCGGCGAGTCGGGATCGGAGCAAGAAAACGCTGAGTTCCTGGCCGGGGCACTCGTCGGGGTTGATGAGGTGGAAGGACTCGGAGTCAGCGTTTCCGATGACGTGTTCAAAGTTAGCGCGCATGTACATGAGTTCCTCGGAGGTGTCGGAGGCAAAGCCGGAGGGGATTACGCCGGCGCCGACTGAGACGCACTGCATGGTGCGGAGGATGGAGCGGACGCGGTCGCCAGGGCGGCGGCGAGCGGCGAAGCCGGTCTTCCTGCCGTTGCAGAAGGTGGTCCAGAGGGGGACTGAGCGGAGGGGATACGTGGCGGCGTCGGAGCACTCGAGCGCTATGCGCACGAGGCCGTTGCGCATTTCGCGTACGAGGTGGTCAGTGGAAAGCGGAAGTTCGAGCAGGAGCGTGGGCTTGGCGGAGAGCCGGTCGTGCTGCACGCAGAACCACACGTGCCCGCGCCGGTTCCCGAAGATGGTGCCGATCACCATCGACTTCGAGGGACGCGGTGGGGCCGCAGAGGCCGCGGTGGAGGAGGAAGTGGACGACGCTGGCGAGGAGGGGCGGTTCTTGATCTGGGAGTGGTGGTCAGAGAAAGGGACGGTTGGTTGCGGCTTGGAAGGGAAGAAACATGGGAGAAAGAATCGACGGAGGGTGTCGATGGCCATAATAGTGGACGGTGGTGGTGGATGGTGGTGGTGGATGGTGGTGAGAATGATGTGACAGTAAAATGTGTTTCTTGAAGAATGGGTGTGTGGGTCGTGGAAGGTGGAACTGAAGAAGAGGATCATGTGAGTGCATGCTGGTACGGTCCGTGCATGTGTCCATTTATATTATAATAATAACACTCATTATTATTGTAGTGGCTCGAACTTCCATTAACAAAGTTACAATTACAAACACATTTATGATTCAACCCTTTATCTCTTCTTTACTCACTTTGACTTTACCCTTTCTCCAATGTAACGTCGCTTTTACATGTTTAAAGAATCGGTTTTGGGTTTAAATAGTGTTACTCACTGAAAATGATCTTTGGATCTTCGGGTGCAGAGGACTAAATTCATACTTCCCTTAATCTGGTTTTAATTACTCTACGTCCATGTCTTCCAAATTTATCTCGGTTGATTGATTGGTTTCCTCGTTACAAAGATTAGTTAAAAGTTGTGACAATGTAAAACTGTTATAATCGCATTATATTATTATTATCCATGAGTGGGAGAAACTTACCTACAATTAAATATTTCAAAAGCATAGTTACATTTTAACCATTTGGTAATAATATATAATTATAGTCATTAACCTTAATTTTATGTGTAGTTAATAATGTATAATGCACTTTTGTTATATCTGGTTGTCACGTAACGTAAGTAAGTGATGTGAAGGTCTTCTGGCATAATAGCAAACTGCAGAGGCCAATACAATGGACCACCCAATGTGACAGTCCTAATATTCTTTTTTGACTAACATTGAGAAGAAGAGAAAAATAGTTTCCGGAATATGCACTCAAGGAACTAAGAAATAGGGAACTTAAGGAAATCCGGTTCCGAGAATAACACTAGCAAGATTTAATCGAGAAATTGTTGATCGATTATCGAAATGTATATTGAGAGATAGTTTATCGTAACATAATATCTAGAGAGTATGGAGACAATATATGGAGATTGAATTTTAGAAAAGAGAAATTACAAGAAGGTGATTAAGCTTGATTTTTTATTTATAGCCAACTAATAATTAATTTTGTTTTACATCTTAATAACTAATTTTTATTATAACAAAACCCTCCTATAAAACAATTCATGTCTTAAAGGATTAAATATGGGATATTTCTTGAGGTCATAGAAAAATTGTCATATTTCTTTAGATAGATGAAGTTTCCATTTCATAAAGATTTTGATGATTTTTATTCTTTTTTTTCTTTATTGCCATTCGATGTAAGATGATTTTTGGTTCTTTTTCCTACAACTTCCTTTTAGTTTGATAAGGTAGCTTCGTAAAGACTAACGTCTTTCTTACATGTTTTTTAACACATTATGAATCTTCAAACTCGTTGGAAGTTCTAGTTTGTAAGCTATCTCCCCTACCCTATCCAGAATATTGTAGGGTCCAAAATATTTGGGACTTAATTTGACATTAGGCCTGAAGTTCACTGAAAATTGCCAATAAGCCTGTAATTTTATATAAACTATGTCTCCAATTTCATAACTTCTATATGATATGTGTCTTTTAGCCACTTATTTCATCCTCTCTTGCTCTCTACAAATGAAACTTAATTACTTTCAGTATCTCTTCTCCTTTACTTAGGCTTTTATTTACTAATTTCACACTAGATTCCTTGCGTAGATAAGGAAGGTCAATAGGGAGAACTTAACCATACACAATTTCATAAGGGTAGCCTTAGTAGCCTTGTGGTATTGTGTTATACCACCATTCTGTTAAGGGAAGCCTATGCCACTTCACCCATTTGTGAGATAAATCAACACACATACATCTGATATAGTTTTTAAAGACATATTCACAACCTCTGTTTGCCCATCTGTTTGGGGGTGATAACTTGTGGATAGTTGGACTTGCACCTCTGGTATTGCCATAAATTCTTGTCAAAATTGGCTTACAAATATCGAATCTCTGTCACTAGTAATAGTTTTAGGAGGTCCATGTAATTTGAACACGTATTCCAGGAAAGATTGTGTTACATCCTTTTGTTTATAAGGATGAGATAAGGCCATAAAATGAGTAGTTTTGCTCAGCCTATCCACCACTACCATAGTCACCTGCTTGCCTTCTGAATTCAGTAGACCTTCTATGAAGTTAATGGTGATATAGTACCAAATAGTTTGAGGAATGGGTAGAGGTTGGAGCAGCCCAAGGTTGACAACAATGTTATACTTATTATGTTGACAAATAGAGTAAGGTTGGATAAAATGTTTAATGTCACCATTTAAACATTTCAAATAAACCATTGTCTTCACCTTTCTCACTGAATGACTCTCATCTACTGAAGAATGTAACCACTGTAAAATCTTTTTCCTCAATATCATATAATTTCCTACCATTAATTTACCCTTTCTTTGCAACTCATGGTTTCTACATGTATAATATTTGTGGGAACTATTATTCTCTTGTATCTCCTTTATTATTTTTGTAAATTAATTTTCGTGAGCCAAGATTATTTTATCTGATTCATCAATTCATATTGTAATTGTATTGTAACAATCACTTTGCATTCCATTGTTTCCATTCTCGAAAGTGCATTGTCTTGTCCTCGTTTATATTTTATAGAGAAATCAAATTTCATCAATTTCACCAACCACTTTTGTTGAAAATCTATAGTCCACCACTTGTCCAAAATATATTTAAGGATATATAGATCCATTTTTATTATAAGATGTTAATTCAACAAGTGGTGCCTCCACTTTTGTACTACAAAAATCACTCCCAACAATTTTTTATCATATGTCGAATATGCCTATTATTTCTTATTAAAATTTTGACTAATAAAATTAATTGGATGATTGTTCTGCATTAAAATCGTACCTACCCCATGACCCCCGAAGCATCCACTTCAATTCAACTATAAACACCTTTGAAAAATTGGGTAGTGCTAAAATTGGAGCGTCAACTTTTTTAGTTCATCAAAGGCTTTTTTATATTTTTCTGTCCAAATGAATCTATCTTTTTTCAGCATATCTCTCAAGGATTTAGTTATTACTCCATAACACCTTAGCTGGATTTGTAGAATGAATGATGTGCCCAAATATCTCACTTGCTACACTGTGAAATAACATTTAGATCTTTGAGGAGATAGAGAGTTTAGTCACAGAGTTAACAACACATCCCTTAAATGTTGTAAATGGTTTGTCAAGTCTCTACTACATGCAAGAATGTCAAAAAAAAAAAAAACAGTAAAAACTTCCTAAAAAACTTGTGAAAAATAGTGTTCATCAAGTCCTAAAATGTAGTTGGAGCATTAGTGAGGCCAAAAGACATCACCAAGTATTCATAGTGTCCTAAATGAGACCTAAACATTAGTTTCCACACATCATCCGGGTTCATTCGAACTTGATTATATCCCGCACGTAAATCAATTTGAGAAAAAATAGTAGATCTTGACAATTCATCCAAAAAATCATCTACTAAAGAAATAAAAAATTATTTTTTTATTATTCCTTTATTTAATTCCCGATAATCCACACAAAGTCTCCATGACTCATCTTTCTTTCCCACAAGAATGAACGGACTAGCATAAGGGCTATTTTTATCCTGAATAACACCTTATTGCATGTATTCTTGTATGAGTTTATCAATAATATCTTCTTATTCTTAGCACACTTATAAGGTCTTTTGTTATCTGGATTCATTCCTTGAATTAGAGGAATAGTATGATCACATCTTGGTCTCTTGAAACACATCCGTAAATTCTTGCAATAGATTTTTAACTCCCACATATACAACTTCCTGACCTGCATGTGTAGTAAATGAACACAATAATTCCTCCTCGTGGCACCAAGATCTATGATGGACAAATGCACTCCTTCTACAAAAGTCTTGCATAATTGTTGTTTGGTTACAATTTTTACCTTGGTATTGGTGGATCCCCTTAGCACATGTCGTCTACCTTGTACCCTAAACTCCAATATGACTATATCAAAGTTCTACAAAATATCATCCAATTTCATCAACCATTCAATTTCCAACACCAAATCACAACACCCTAAAGATAAACGAAACATATCAACTATAAAGGTAGTGTGTTGAATATTCCCAATTGAAATTCCTAACCATTACTGAAATCTTAATCTTAGATTCATCTGTTATTACCACATTCAAGGGATTTAAATTTTCTACTATACACCCATCCTTTTCTACTACTTGAGTATCCAAAAAAATTGTGAGTGCTCCCTCTATCAATCAAAATATGTAAGGGTTTCTTCTAGTAATAACTTGTAATCTTCATTGTTTTAAATCTTATTATCCATGTCAACACGTTTACTGAAATTTGTGGTTCTTGCATAAGTAAGTGGTTTTCCTCATCATCCATGGACTCATCACTAGCCTCCTCGTCACCTCCACCTCCATCACAAACTTGTATCTTCTTGTAAGTTAAATCATGCTCTAATGGTTGATCACAAAAGTAGCACAACCCTTTAACTTTTCTTTTATTCATATATGCCAGAGTTAAATGTTTTCCTTGAACCAATTTTGTCTTACTTATGTCTTATTCCAAATAAACATTTTTATCTAGACTCAATGGTCTAGGACCCAACACACCTTGTCATTGTTAATTCCCTGTCAAGCTTGCCGTAGTAGAAAATTTTTCAGCCTCATACAATCTTGCTAAAGAAAAAATCTTATGGACAGTAGTTGTTTGAAATATATAGATCATTACTTGTGTATCTTTTTTAAGTCCCCCAAGAAACAACTCAACAAATAATATTTAAAGAGATTTAGCTGAGTAATAATCACGTCAAATTCCTCATAGTACTCAACCACTGACCTTTTTTGTCGTAACTTCATTAAATCGGTCATTGGGTCAGAACAAATATCACCAAAACGTTCAAGAACTAGTTTCTCGTGTTCCTTCCAAGATATGACAACACAATTGATGATTTTTGAAATTGTAAAATGTCATTATAATGTTGTTTCTTCCATATGAACAACTGTCAAGCTTACCTTACCATTGTCGGGTGTGTTATTAATTACGAAAAAATTATCACATTGATAAAGCCATTGGTTGACCTAGTGTATAGAGATTGTTCATCGAGACAATATATCGAGAAATAATTTATCGAGACACAATATCAAGAGGGAGAATGTGTATTGAGACTAACTATTAGAAGAAAGAAATTACACGAATGTGAGAAATCAAGTATGTTCTCTGGTTAAGCTTGACCCTTCCTTTTATAGCTAACTAACAACTAATTATATTTTACATCTTAATAACTTTTATTGTAACAAACATATGGTTGGAAAAGCTTAAGGGTAGGAGAGGTTTATTTACATATATATATTAGAGGAAAGAAATAATTTTTATGATAAGGTTGCATGTTTTGGTACTAGATAACGTTGCAATAAGTGATGGATGATATTCTGGATTTTCCTAGACATAATTTCTTTAGGAATAATTTACCTTATTAAAGGTATTTGGGTATTAAGATAATGTATTATATAGTGATACTTTTGCATACTTTTTTTTATATAAAAAAAATAATAATTGTGTATAAGAACCACATTTCCAAAGCATAAGAAACTTCCCGGTTATAATTGGAACTAAATCAGTGTGTCTGGAAGCTCAATTTAACAATTATTTACAAACTCTGGTCTTACAGGAAATAAAACAACACATTTATTTTCAATTTTTTATTGGCAGAGGAACATGGGTGAAAGATAATCAAATCTAGTCAGTTCTTTATGCATCAGCAAAGTAAGCACCCACTAATGGCAGAAAATTTGTACAGCCAGACCAAATGTTGAACACCTCTACTGAAACTGTAGTGTCAATGAAGTTGGCAATCAAACTCATAGATGCCAACTTCTCCAATGTCTCGTTTCCTTTAGCCAGATAAACACAAAACATAGACTCATGGTATGTTAAATTTGAATATATCTGACACCTCTACATTCTCCTAGTTTCTTTCCTGGTGAAGAAGAATGAGGAAGTGTGCTAAAGCTTGGCCTTCTGGAGAAAGATCGTCGTTCACCAACTCTTCTATTAAAAATTCTATAAACCAACCTTACCTTTACCACTCACTAAGAGTAATAAAGGTTTTAAATAAGCGGTCATATTTCTAAAAAGCTAAACCCTTAAATGTGTAATAGATAAGTGGTCATATTTCTACTTTCTAAAATAAAATCTAACAGTGTGCATTGAAACCACCAGACGTATTTAGACATGTATCTATCTGTCAAAGTTTTATGTTTTACTACATGTCGAACTTGGTGGCCTTTATCCAATAACTTAGACATCGAACATGATGTTTGTTAAAATTTAGGCTTTTGCGCAAAAAAGAGAAACAGAAAAGGCAACTAGTAAAACAAATCATAAGTTAGCAAAGTAATAATCTATATTTTCAGAACATAGTTTTAGTATTTGGTCATACGGAATAATGTATCTGCCCCTATAAATTTGGAAGGCCTCTGGCACTTTCCTGCCACTTAGTTAGGATTTGCACTTAAGAAAATCAGCTGTACTAATAAACAAACGGTTTAGTGAAAATGAAAATATTAGAATTTAAATATATAGAGGTAGGTAACCCAGAGTTTCTATAAATACTAGTTAAATTAAATCAAATTCGCACGCTTGATGATTAATTGGAAAATATACTCACCCTTAGATCATTCAACCTCCATGAAAAAATAATTATTGGATTTGAAATGCAAAACCACGATACTTTCAATGACAAGGTTAATTAAAAAAATACATAATAAATATAACTAAAAAAGTCATTCAAACTATTAAATCTGACCATTAACCAAAATAAGTAGCAGAGAAGGCAAGCCTGTTTGAATTGTTGCCTCTAACAAATGCCATGCCTCTAAGCATATCAAGCTTTTATTTTTAGGGGAAAAAAAAAATTCTACCTTAACCACGGTTTTAGCACAATTGAATGTATGGTCACTACGGGCCCGGGAATCTGCGTAATCCATCCACCATATATTGATGGCTGGAAAATCACATCTACATGACCAGAATACAGAACAAGATGAAGGAGTTATTGCACCCCACTCCACCTAGCCCAATCAACAAATTGCATGCCCCCATACACATTGTTGGCAAAACGTACACCAACTGTGAAAGCCAGAGCAACTGGGGGAACCTGCTTTGCCAGTGGTGATGCTTCAACCAAACGTTCCAGTCCATTGACGATCTGGTATCGTGTGTTGGAAGAAACAGCAAGAAAGACACCTACAATGGAGGTTCAGGGATCAAGGAATCGTGTTACAACCAGGAATAAAATACAATAAGACAAGTTGATCTAAGTTGAAGTAATGCTCATATGTCAACATAACAGAAAATCAGAAAACGTGAAATAAAGATTGAGAAAACTTGGCGATCCACATTGCACACTTGAACCAATATCAAATGGTACAAGGATTTTTATACCATTTTTGGCTATAAATTGATAACATGCGACATTTACTTATTTAACAAAGAAACAATACAACAAATTTTCTTTTGGACAGAACCACAAAAACCATAAATTAATTTCCAGTATAGTATCTTTTCTCACTTGTTGCAAATTGCAAATGTTGAGCACAAAGAGATATATCTAGGCCCTATTTGTAGAAAATTCTCCACTATCACTGAATAGGATAAGAACGTAAGAAATTAATTGAGTTTTCTTATAAGCTAAAATCAACTTATGCATCTCAGTTTCAAGAAAAAGAAGTTATAGGAGAAAGTTTCTATAAAAATTAAATACACAATTCAATTTTAACTTATTAACAAGATAATAAGCTTAAAATTGAGATTACTTCCCTAATAATTAAATGAAAACACAGATTGCTGTCTTCCAGTTATGCAGAAGAGATTTATTACAAAATATGTAATATTTTTTAATAAAGAACATCATACCCCAAAGAGCAGCACTCTTTATAAGTGGTGGCACAGGTATGTCCTCTTCTGATTTCTTTAAGCTCCTGGTATAAAGCAAGAACAAGTGAGAACTTAATTGCTCAGATGAATAAGGATTCATACAGAGTAACATAAACAATCATCTAGTATGAACACTGCTTATTAATTAGATATAATTTGATATGCTATCAACAGAAACAGTTTCTATATCAGCAAACCATATGGTGCCACCAGTTTAAAAGGGTGCTCATAAAACATTTTGTTATGTCAAGTGAAAGACTATAGTTTTGGCAATGTTATACTTGCACATTGTTTTTGAATTAATAGAACAAATTCCCTCCTTTGTGAACGCAAAATAGGCATCATGCAAAAGTATAATAATGCGTAGAGAAGAAGAGCACAAACCTAGTCTAGTTAAAGATCTCCACTAGGAAAGTAGAAGTTCAACTCTCTTAATTCTCACCAAGTGTGAGGGAAACACAACTCTCTTTCTCTTAAAGAGGATTACAAGAACTCTCTTGCTCTTTCTCTAAAGGAGGATTTCTTCACCAAATAGAATGGGATGAAATACTCTCCCTATTTACAAAGGATGAAAAAACCCTTCATTCTTGAACAAACTTGACTTTTCACGAAGAGATGTGACTTTCGACTCTTCATGGAGTGATGTGACTGTTCATGGAGAGATGTGACTCTTCATGAAGAAATATGACTTTTCATGAGAAATTCCAACACACAATTTTTTGGTTTTGTAGAGTTTTTACATAGATGTTGGATTAGATTTAAGTTTGCATTTATATGAATCAAGTCTTAGAAAATAATAGATTCCAAATAAATGCTCATGTATACTCATTTATAAATTATAACCCGAAAAAATCTCCATGCTTTAGTTGATTTCCAGTCATAATCTAATTTATTAACAGAATCATCATTCTAGTAGATGATCCACGAGGACAATTACAGATATATGATTATAAGGAACAGGGAATGCTACTTTGTGCCATATGTTAACAAACTCTAGGAAAGAAACTCATACCTCTTTGCAGTCATGATCATATTTGCAATTCCTTGGCCTATAATACCACATGCAAATCCAACAGCTCCGTACATTATACCCTGGAAATGGATATACACATTAAAAAATTAATGCTCAACAGAAACTTCCCATAACTTGGTTGAAAAATGAAATGGTTTCAGTCATTACCTTGTAGAAGTATGTTCCAAGTCTCTGCTGCACAGAAAACCTACATCCTGGCCTTTCTGCTTCAAATACACTGCAAAAAGTGAGTAAAATAGAAACTTAGACAAAAGCTTCTTCTTACTCCATAGAGACAAAGTAAGTACGAACTTACTATTACTAATTATATGGATAAATGTTACTTATGGAGAAACTTTACTTCCATGCCTTTTTTAGTTGGACAAGTATTATTATATATACACATAAGATATAAAAATATTGACATAAAAAAACAATGCATGTTAATGGAATGATGAGGAACCTGCTAGGCAAGGCTGCATAAGCTTTCTGCATTCTACCAAGGTATCCACTAGATATTGATGGTTTCCCGATTCGAGCATAGGGTGCCAGCATACCTACCAATGCAACATTAACAACCAGCCCAACAAGAAGATCTGCAAGATACAACTCAAATTCGGCCCAAAAGTCTTTGCCTCTCTTTTGAACTTCAGCAAAAGTAGCACAACATGTATCAATGACAATCTGCATATCATGTGAGAGAAAAGTTACATAAATCCGTTGCAAACATCCCAAATTACCCAACTATGCCAACATTACATAACTATGAATTATTTCACTTATAACTTATACAATATGAGGGGTGAAGTCATCAGCACAACATTTTTTAATATATAGAGAAACCTTGTTACATAGGAAACTATTTTAGTACCATAATTGTCAATAATGGATACTTGTCATATGTTACATAGAGCAGTCAATTGGTTGGATAGTTCAACACACTACAGTTCCGCCACTAAATAATATGAAAAATAAACATTAGAATTACTAGAAGACCAACCAACCTCTGATCCAATTTTGAAAAGAAACGATGGATCAGCTAACATTCGATTGCGAAGCATAGAGCACGATCTTATGAAAAATCCTAAAGGCCAAAAGGATCCCTGCAATTAAAACAATAAATATAACAGCATTAAAGTCTAAGGATATGGTAATCTAGTTTAACACGAGTTGGTGCTCATAATCCATCAACTTGAAAAGAATAGGGGAAACTGTATACACATTTAGAAACTGTACCTGCAAGTCCAAATATCTAAGTAGAAGCTCCTTTGGGATTCCCACACTCTTAGCAGCCTCTATCATGTCTAAGGGAAGGGTAGTCCCACGAGCCTCTGTCTCTCTCATTACCTCTTCATATCTCAGAATTGGCCCAAATTCCTCCTCTTCATTGTCATGACTGTCACCATCGTCCCCACCCCCACCCCCACCATTTCCATCTCTCTCTCCACCACTTCCAAAGTTTCCATTACCACCACTGCCATCTAATACAACTCCATTATCATCATTTCTATCAATTTTGGAGTTTGACTCATTAACTTGAGTCACATGGTCCTTACTCAGGAGACTATCACTTCCCCCTTCTGAAACTCCTATTGAAGTTACAGCAGATTGCGATTCAGCGGACGGCTGCGACATACTCATTACAAGAAACATTTTTTTCTTTTGCATAGGCACACATGATCTACCACCCTTGCTCCCACATAGAACTTGAAATGCAGCCTCCTTCGACACACCCCTGAAACTCAACCTAATCAAATTTGACTCCTGATTTCCCAGATTCCCAAATAAGGCTTCTTTCCTCACGTTGGCAACACCAGCCACAGCAAAATTTGAAGAACAACCCGCCATTCTCCCAAAAAACTGTACTTTCTCTAACCACAAAACTACCCAGAAAAGTCGACTAATTATTTTTTCTTCCTGCTGAATAAACAATCAGAAGGAAACAAAACAGATCATACCCCAAATCTGCAGGACACACAGAATCAAACAAACCAATCACCAAGCCAAACTTAAACATGCATGCATGCATTTGGGAATGTATTGAAAAATGAAAATCAACAACAAGAGCAATACTCAAGCAATGAATTTTTTTTTAAATGAAAATATGAAAGTTCACTTAAAACGGCCAAGAAAATTAAGAAAAAGTTCAAGATTAAAAGAAAGCATAACAAGAAAAAGAGGGTAGGAAACCTACCTTGTTGAGAATAGAATGAGTGGTAGGAAGGTAGAGATAAAACTGGAAGTAAGTAGATGCGGCGAAGTGAGGGTAACTGGGTGAATAGTTTTGGCTTTAGTGGTTTCCCTACTAGTGTTCTCTTGAAGTTGGAATTATATACATCCATATGCAAAACACATTGGAGATTCGTCGTGGAGCACCAATAATTCATAGCAAAAGAGCACGTGGGGTACAACCAATCGTACGCGTGGGTCGTGCGAGATATTTATTAAGGCCTGTTTGACTGCGCAATACATCACGACGACCTTAGTCATATTCATATTCTCTATGTCTTCTCTCACGGACAAAAAAAACTTCAAATGGTTTTTGTTTAGCCGTATTAATGAAAAATAGCAGTAGCCAAATAAGATAAGGGGCTGTAGTGAGTAACAATCATTATTATTCAAGAAAAAAAAATCAATAGTAAAATCGATGTTTAAAAAATTGGCATTACACGGTTGTAAAAATAGAGTTAACCATGGATTGACTATAAATACTCGAAAAATGGATTAAGGTAACTTAAAAAAATTGTAATAAAAAATGTTTAGAGTAAGATCTTCAAATAATATTATTTTATTAATATATATATATATATATATATATATATATATATATATATAAAATAATTAAATAATATATTCATCTATTTTAAAAATAAATATTAAAAGTAAGCTTTTAATAATTAGATGTAATAATTAAGATTAATTATTATTTTAAACCAATAAATAATTAAAAATAATAATAATAATAATAATAATAAGTAAGATTTTTATGTTAAATAATTTATTTTTTTATGTTGAGAATAAATAATTTATTTTTTTATAATTTATATATTAAATTATTATATCTTAAATAAAAATTAATTTAATTAATATAATATAAATTTAAAAAATAACTTTTTAAAATTTTTTATTTTAATATTTTTAATTAATTATTTCAATATAAATATATTAATAATTTTTTAAAAATTTACAATCAGAATAAATTTGGACCTTTACTTCTTAACATAGAAACAGGTTACTGTATTAATAATCTTACCATTTTACAACGTTGGTCGAAGAAGAAGAAGTGAGACGTGAAATAATATAGAACAGAAAACAAGAAAGAAAAAATATAATAAAAACATCATTTTGATTGAAAGAAAAATCAATAGAAAATAAAATGTTATATAAGATGGTTTGCTTCTAAAATAAAACTAGAAGAAAATAATAATTAAATTTTGAAATAAAATAATTTATGTCCCATACATTAATTTGCTTTTGTATGTCAATTTTTGAAAAAATATATTTTTTTTTACGTAAATTGCTCATACAATCATGTCTTAATTAATTAAATTATGTGTTGTATTATTATGATTAGCATAATTGATTATATGATATTTTTAATAACAACTATTATTTAAATAGTTAAGAGATTAAAGAGAGTTAAAAAAATTTATATGTATCACTTCACTCTATGATCTTTTTATATATATATATATATATATATATATATATATATATATATATATATATATATATATATATATATATATATATATATATATATATGATTACAATATTTAAAACAACAACTACCAAATACTAATTATTAACTACTAACCACTAATTAATAATAATTTTAATACTTCTCCTCAAGTTGGAGCATATAAATTGTATGTATCAAGCTTGGAACAAATAAATTCAATTTGAGGTTCTCTTAAAGACTTTGTCAACACATCTGCAAGTTGATCATTGGACCCAACAAATTCAGTGTAAATTTCTTTAGACAACAATTTTTCACGAATAAAATGACAATCAAGTTCTATATATTTTGTCCGTTCATGGAACACCAGATTAGAGGCGATGTGGAGAGCTGCTTGATTGTCACAATACATCTTCATCTGTTGGATCTCACAAAATTACAGTTCTTGAAGGAATTGTTTCACCCACACTAGTTCACAAGTGATAGACGTCATTGCTCTATATTCAACTTCAGCACTAGACCGGACCACTACATTTTGTTTCTTGTTTTTCCAAAAAATAATATTGCCTCAAATGAAAACACAATATCATGTAGTGGAGCGTCTGTCCATAAGGGATCCAGCCCAATCAGCATCACAATACCCAGATATTTGGGTACCCCCTTTATCTTTAAACAACAACCTTGTCCTGGAGCCTTTTTGAGATATTTTAGGATGGGAACAACAACATTCCAATGATTAATACGCGGATTTTGCATAAACTGACTGATAACTCCAACGACAAAAGATAGATTAGATCTGGTAATGGTGAGATAAATGAGTTTCCCAACAAGTCTTCTATATCTCTCAGGATCAGAGAGCGATTCACCCTGATCCACCATTAATTTCTTATTTGGATCTATAGGAGTGTCTACTAGTCTACAATCAATCATGCTTGTTTTGTTCAGAATATCTAAAGCATATTTTCTTTGGGAGACTATGATGTCTTCTTTTGATTGAGCCACTTCAATCCCTAGAAAGTATTTGAGACAACCAAGATCCTTAGTTTGGAAGTGATTACATAAATGTTTCTTCAACATAGAAATTTTATCAGCATCATCCCCTTAATGACTATATCATTCACATGTACAATTAAATAAACACATTTTCTTGAAGCAGTATAATAAAAAACAGAATGATCTGATTCACTTTGTTTTAGTCCAAAACTTTGAATAATGTGACTAAACTTTCCAAACTAAACACGTGAAGATTGTTTAAGACCATAGAGAGAACGATGTAACTTACAAACCAAACTAGACTCCCTCTGAGCAACAAAACCAGGAGGTTGCTCCATGTAAATTTTTGCCTCAAGATCACCATGCAAGAAAGCATTCTTGATATCTAACTGATGAAGAGGGCAATGACGGATAACTTCCATAACAAAGAAAAGTCGAACAGAAGTCATTTTAGCCACAGGAGAAAAAATATCACTATAGTCAAGGCCATAGATCTGAGTATAACCTTTTGCTAATAATCTAGCTTTGACTCGATCAACTTCACCTTTTTGTCCAACTTTAATGGTATAGACCCAATGGCGGATCTTGATCATTGATCTTGGGGGCCAAGTAATATATTATTAATAAATAATAAATAAATATAAAAGGAAGAAAGAAAATGAAAAGTTGAAAAGATAAAATTGTAGATATATACTTAAATATATTAAATTGTCATTAAGTTTGAGGGAGACAAAATCATAAATTATATGAGAGTTTCAAAACTAAGGAGGGGCTGAGAGGATAAAATTATAAATATATAAGTAAATATATTAAATGTTCAATAAGTTTGGAGGGGCCATAATTATAAATTACATGGAAGTTACAAAAATTTGGGGGAGTCACGGCCCCCTCAGTTCCCAAGAAGACCCATCACTGCATAGATCCAACGACAACCAATAGTCTTCTTCCCAGGTGGAAGAGGAACTAAGTTCCATGTACCATTGTGCTCAAGAGCCTGCATTTCATCAATCATGACTTGTCACCATTTAGGATAATCAAGTGCATTTTTCACATTTTTAGGAATAGTAATAATGGATACAGAAGAAACAAAAGAAAAATAGGAAGGAGACAATTTGTGGTAGCTAAGAAATTTGTAAATGGAATGTGGATTACGAGTAGAACGAGTACCTTTGCAAATGGTAATGGGCCAACTTGAGTCATCATTATCAGGGGGTATCAGGGGATGATTGAGAAGGATCTGCTGAGGAAGACTCATCTTGGGCCATGGGACTGATCATTTGGCTCCAGTGTTGATAGGTAATAAGAGGCAGTGATGAGGATTCCGGTGTATTTTGTGTGGAATTTTGGGTGTCAGGAGGAGGAGGTACAAATGGCTCCACTAAGGATATAGGTAAGACATTTTGGACCGAACTAATATCCTGAATAGAATAAGGGAAGAAGGGAGTTGATTAAAAAAAAGTGCATACATGTAGTACCTCTTGGTTTCAGGAGAATAACATTGATATCCTTTTTAAAGACGAGAATATTCCAAGAAGACACATTTGATGACTCTAGCTGATAATTTATCTAAACCTAGAGACATATCACGAACAAAACATTTAGGGAAAGATGACCTATGTTTCCCCAGTTGACATGATTCACATTCAAAATCTTGAAGAGTCTAAAGTTTAGGAACCATTTTTTTTAATCTTGACAAGTGAGGGTGCCCTAAACGTTCGTGTAATAGTTTTGGAGACAATAATGCAACACAGGATACAGATGATTTAGTCTCAAGGTAGTATAAGCCTCCAAATTCATGTCTTTCACCAATCTATCAACTCGTACCACGTTCCTGTATAACAAAAGAGTTGGCATTAAAGGTTATTAAACAATTCAATAATTTGGTTAATTGACTTAGGGAAATGAGACTAAAGGGACATGAAGGAACAAAAAAAAACATATTTTAAGTTTAAAGACAGAGAAATGGAGACTTGACCAGTTCCTTTAGAGGCTACTTCAGATCTGTTGGCTAAAGTTATGAGATGAGGAGTTTTAGGAAATGAGAGAGAAGAGAACAAAGAAGTATTATCAGACATGTGATCAGAAGCACCTGAGTCAATAATCCATGGATTTTGACTTTCCACAGATTGTGAAATGCAAGTTGTTGATAATTTGAGGTTGTTGATAACTGTGCTAGACTACTGTATTTCAACATCAAATATTCCTGATATTCTTCGTGAGAGAACTTGGGTTCAACCATTTCAGATTTGAAAAATTTGACAGTCTTGTCAGGAAAATCGTGCAAAGAGTAGTAATTTTCTAGGGTATGACCCATTCTCTTGCAATGAGTGCACTGAGGACGTCCTCTACCTCCACGTCCTCCTCTAGTGTCACGACTTCCTCTTACACGAGTAGAAATCATAGTAGAATATTCAACAAGTTCTTGATTATTTTTTCCTTTGAGAGTTGGAACACGAACCAGTCTTGTAGTCAAATTTTTCATAGAAGGAACTTCTTGTCCAGTTAAAATTTGATCTCTAACATGATCAAATTCTGAATTCATAGCCTAGAGAGTCATAACCATATAGAATTTATCCAACTTTTGTTTTATCTCCTCTAACAAATCCACCTCTAGGAACATCTTTAATTCTTCAACTGTTGATTGAGCTTCAACAATAAAGGTTATCATATCTTTATCCACTTGCTTGAGAGAGATTAATCGATTAACGGAATCATAGAGGCATTGGATATCATTTGCAAAGATATTCTGAGCTTTTTTCCAGAAAGAGTTACATGTGTTTGAAGGATCTGAGAGTGTTCAAAATATTTGGTTCTACTAATTGCCACAATAGAGCACATAGTTGATAATCAAGCTTTTTTCATTGTTGAGTCTGATATTCTAGTATCATACTTCCATCTTTTTCTAGATGATCGTGAAACTCTTGTCCAAAGAATCAAAGTTCCACTGAAGAGGACCAAAATATGTAATTTTTCCCATTTAATTTCTCAGCCGTTATAGTGGAAGTTTCGGAAAAGGAGATTGTGGGCCCTGACAACATGTTTTAAATAATATAGATGTAAGATCGAAACAATGGAACCTGTAAGAAGGAGAACACCGAAGATAGAATTAGATATAGGGAAGTTTCAATTTTCTCTTTGCAAGAAAACTGAAGAATGGTAGCAGCGGACAGCTGTAGCGGAACGGAGGCCGGAAGGTCATTGGAAGGTGGTCGGAAAGTCGTCGAACGACAACAAAAAAGTGACTGGATGGGGGCTGACGGTTGGTGAAAAGTTACTGAAAAGTGGTCGAAAAGTGATCAGAAAGTTATTGAAAAGTTACCGAAAAGTGACCAGAAAAGTGATCGAAAAGTGACCGAACGATAGTCAAACGGTAGTAAGACGGTAACCAAACAGTGGTCAAAAAGGCAAAACATGACCAACCTGCTCTGATACCAAGTTAAGAGAAGATTTATAATTTAGTGGAATGCATCACTCCACTCTATGATCTCATATATATATATATTCTTTTCGAAAAAATGATATATCATTTCTTTACTACTCATACATGCTACACGTTGTTTCTTATTTCTTTTATATTTCTTATTTCTTTTATATGTATCACATTTTTTTAAATACATAATATCATAATAATTTTTTTATATTTATTTTTCTTTGTCATTAGTAATGTAATAAAAATAATTATATTTTATTTGATAAAAAATATTATTATATCATAAGCTACAATAAAATCTGTTAAAATCATTTCATGTAATGATATATATATATAATCAGTTATGTTATTGAAATAAATATGAGACATAAAAAAGGAAAAACATATCAATCAAGCAACTCATCATTTTTATTAAATTTGCATGTTAAGTGTTCATATATTAAAGAAACGAAAAAAAGTAAACTCATCCCTCTCTACAAGGATTTATTGCGGTAAAACATGAGTCGTGTGTAGAAGATAGCCTTTGTATTCTTGGTGCAGTTTCCTCTGCCTCCAATGTTCTTGTGGATGTGGACTGTTGTTTCGTTTAGTAGAGATATGCATCAATACACGCCGCTCAATCAACAATATATCCAAAACCCCAAAACTCAAATATTTCTTGTTATCATTTTACCATAATTGTTTTTAATACAATATAAGTTGTTTATAAAATAGAAACTAAATATTTGAAAGACCAGCTTAAATTTAATAATGTTTTATTTGTTTCAAAATTACACACAATATTTTTATATTAAAAAATTAATAATATTAAATTCATTTTTTTTAAATTACAACATTAAATGTTATTCTGAAAATAAACTGTATATATTAATAACAAATTCATGCATTTCACATCAGAATTATTGTCTGGGTGGTGTAGTTGGTTATCACGCTAGTCTCACACACTAGAGGTCCCCGGTTCGAACCCGGGCTCAGACATGAAATTTGCGTTTTACACTTTCTCCTTTTGTGACCAAACCCACGAAGGAAGAAAATAAAATCGCAAGCTTCATTTTCCCCTTTCTTCACTCTTTGCAGTTTCCTACTTTCCTTCCTCTTCCTTTCTTCCTCAACTCCTATCACTTCCTTCCTTCCTCGCCTTATTTCAATTCCTTCCTTACTTTTCCGACAAACTTTTTCTTCAATAATCAGAGAGAGTGTGCGTGAGAGACTAATGGATTGGGGAAACGTCACCGCTGAGGATCTCGTCGACGCTCTCCGCGAGGTCGATTGGTCGTCGCCGCCGCGCCCGCTGTCGGAATTCTTCTCGCGATTCACTGTTCCCAGATCTTCCACCAAATGGAACAGCCGCCTCAAATGCAATCTCTACTAGTACTCCCCACCTCTTCCCTAACCCTCTCAATTTCATGACTACCTCAAAATAATTCATTCAATCATCATAATTCTCATTTTTCCCTCTTCCTTTTTAATTCTTTTTAGTGAATTGGATGATCAGGCGAACGAATTTTCCTTTTCCTTTTCCTTTTTTTTTTGCGATCCTACCTTGTTTTGGCTTTGTATAGAGGTTTTACTGCTCTTATTTTACTGTTCATCACGTTATGAATTTTTTTTATTCTGTTTATTGGGTTCCGTGATGAATTTCGACTTACGAGGACGTGATGATTAATTATAGAATGGTGTTATGTATATTTGGGGATAACTTGTTATTGACGTATTGTAGTCTGGATTTTTAGAATAGAGAAATTATGGGGCTGGGAAATGATAATGATGGTTGGGTTTTGTTTGCTGCAGCTACCGGACCAACTATTTCCTTTTGATTGTGTCTGTTCTCAGTAAGTGAGCTTGATGAATACTGTTTATTTAATTTATGATCGTTGGAGATGCGTTATCTCATTATTTGCCTTTTGAATTGTAGTATTGGGTTTTCTTCGGAGGCCGCTTGCTATTGTAGCCGCATTTCTCACTGCACTCAGCATTGCTTTTTTGAATGACAGGCAAGCTATCTTTTTATATTGTTCTAGATGATTGGTTTTGAAGTTTATTTGATTATGTGCAACAATATGCTTCAATATCATGTTTTTCCCCCTCTTGGCGCATTATTAACCAGAGTCTCCAATAGCACACTATAATAGTTAATTATATTGAGTCATCCTATTTACTTCTAGGCTGATATAATATAGAAGCCATATTCTGCGGGCCGTAATTGTGTTAAGGAAATTCTGAGCTTCCTTTGGCATAACATTGAATAATACTCTTGGCAGTGTTCATAGCATTTCTTTTTGCAGAAACATGCTTATTAGAAGCCTGGCGTAAACTGGTAAAGTTTATATATGGGTTGGTTTTCTAGATGACAACTTGACTTTAATTGCACTCCCAATACCCCATTATAATTCCTTCATTTCATAAAGCACATGACATGAATTTCATGATAGTTTTACTTCTAGGTTTGGATAAGGTTCCTTCATCGCATGATTTGTAACAGCGGGGGTTAATGATTTTTATATTTTGAGATTGATCAACATATTAGTTTTATCACATATCTTTGGGAGGCGCATTGGTTTCTTTATTTTTTGTGGCATGTACAGACAAATGAATAGGTCTTATTCTGCGGATGGAAAAGGTAGTTATGGTAGGAAAGCAAGAGCTTTGGTCAATTTAGATTATAGTGTACGTTTTTGGTCTAACTCGAGGCAACTGTGTTTTTTCTTGACTTGGATATAAAGAGAAACTTATGTTCTCTAGCACTTAATTGGTCTTCTATCTAGAGAGGGAGAGAAGCAATGCAAAATTATTTCAATGAGGCTGTTATTTTCATGGTTACCAATATGAGAAGAGAAAAGAGCTCCAAAAAGGGTTATAACTTATAGCACAGGTGTTGAGTACAATGAACTACTCTAATAATTGAGTTTGACTTTAGATATTTTATTATACTCAGATGGGCTATTAGACAATTATTTTTACCCGTTAAGATTTACCTTTAGATAATTTGTAAAATATTTTAATAACTTACCTCAATCCTAAGAATCTGTAGAAGACTGAGAAAGTTTGAACTGTGAAATCTTCATTCAGTCAGCCCTAGTATAATGTTATGGAAGTGCTTTTTTTTGTATATATATTTCTCACATCAATGTAATTGGTAATTTTTTGCAGCTTTGCAGGTACCTTTAGTGAGAAGGTAACAAGAACAGTTAGGCAATTTTCACCACATTTAGCTGCCAAAATGAGACCTCCTCTCACGTAAGCATATTTGGTTATCTCTTTTTACATTTGGAAGTGTGTGCATGTTTATTAATTATTTGAATTCCAGGCCTGTTATTCGTGGACGTCCTTCAGCCAAGAGAGCAATTTATATATGTGGGCGGCCGCGTTGGGTGTTTGTCCTGATATTTTCTTCTGGTAAATGAAGTCTTTGAAATGGAGATTCTTTTAATCATTAGCAATGTGGGATGTTCTGCCAATCCTTGCTATCAGTCTTATATTTTTTACTCCAATGATTCTTTCCCCTTTTTCTGCAGCAAGTTTCATCCTTTGGTTTGTTTCTGCTGGTCTCTTGACGGTTTTATGGGCTCTTGCTATTGGTCTTCTTGGTACATTTCATAATGAAAATTTTAAATATTTTTTGCAATTGTGAAATTTGCTTCTGAATTTATTTCTCCTGCTATTTTCAGCTACCATCCTGCATGCAAGCTTTAGAACACCGAACTTGAAAGCTCGTCTAAACACGTTCCGTGAAGAGTTCCGTGCAGTATGGCGCAATTATAGTGAACTGTAGCTTACATAAAATTTGTTGGACTTGGATGTAAGTGCTTTCTGCCTTAGTATTTGTACATATTAATGTGCCTAATGATTTTGTGTTCATTTAAAAAACTTGTAAAATACAATTGTATATTGAAGTGATTGAGAAACAGATATGTATATTATAGTGTTAGGTTGAAAGTGTAGCCTCTTAAGTTGCATATTTTCTATTATCATATAATCTCAGACCTGATAAGTAAATCTCATTCTCAAGGAATATGTACTATCAAAAGTTAGATCTAACAACATGATATATATTAGAATAAAGGTTGCTCTTGTTATAGACCTGTAAGCAATGCTTATGCTAGTGAGATTCAGAGCAATAATAGCAGCATAAATACAAAAGGACTGAAAGAGATTAGGGGAATAATTCCCATGAGCCATTATGGCAATGGTTATGCAACCAGAGCGGTGCTGCCAATTGAGATAGTTTTGTGGAGTGAGAAAATATCAGAAAGACTGGACTTGGTGGTATGCTAGTTATGTGGAGTGAGAAAATATCAGAAGGAGTGGACTGGTGGTATGGGGAAGGCTTGGGGGACAAGAAGGTAGGAAATATTTAATTTAGTGAGAGGGGTAAGGCTATACAGTAGCTGGTAAGGTTCTAGGCGTGAATTACAGAGTCTCCTTTCTTTTTCTTTGGATTTTTAGGATTTTTTCGAAGCAGTTGAGCTCCCAGTTACTTGTTATTAACATTGTTGGATACATTGGGATGTTTCCAACCATTAATGTAATGGTTTTAGTTCTGTATCTTTATTGTTTATGTTATTCTTTTTAATTTTATACATCTTCAAAGGCTTGTACTTTGTAAAACAAACTTCTCTTTACTACATAACTTTTAGAACAGTTAGGACACAAACTCCATTTATCATATGAGTTCTTCTCTTTTTGTTGGCAAAATATAAGAATTCAATTTGTTTGGTCCCTATAAATAGAAATGTTCGCTTTTAGTCTCTCAAAGTGAAATCATCTCCTTTTAGCCCCCTATTGATGAAAAATGTGTCAGATATGGTCCGTGTCTTTCACAGAAAATTGTTTCTTTTTGGTCCCTTGATAAGAAAATAGTAACCACATCCGACATGTTTACATACATGAGGGGCAAAATGAGGCAATTTTATTCTTAGGGACTAAAACCGAAGACTGTTATATGAAGGGACTAAAAACATATTTGATCTTAAATATATTCTGTCTCTATCTGATGTTACTGTGACTTTTCTTCCACTACGGATGGATGTATGGGTTTTAAATACTTGATAACATGCTTAGGGCCTGTCTGGATGAGTTTTTCCATAAGCTTCTTTTAGAAAAGAAAAATAACAAAAATTGAAATTAGTTTTCCATAAGCCTAAATTAGTTTTTCCATAAGCTAAAATTAGTTTATGCATGAGCTAATTTGTCAAAGTTATCTAGTATATTTCTCTAATTTTTTATTTTCAACTTGTGCGTAAGCTAATTCTAGCTTATGGAGAAATCAAATTCATTTTTTATTTTTCTTATTTGTTTCTAGTTCAGTTTTGGTAATATAATCGTGACTATTGTATTTTCTATTGTGCTATTGATTTTTGGAAATAGCCATATTGTAACTTCTTGGATTCGACATATTTGCATGTTATGTAGTGTTTTGTAATGCTGACACTGATTGCAGAACTGATGTTACATTAATGTTTTTTTAGGTGTTGCTGCTTTATTGTTGCAATATTTTCCTTTAATTGGAATGGAGAATTCTATAGGAAGCTGCCAACCATTGGAGACTAGCAGATTGTAAATTTTCAGGAATCTTGTTTTGTAAAGTACACTGTTTACGTTGTTTATTATGTTTAGTGGAAGCATTGGAATATTGATATACGCTGTAACCTAGAGAATGTCATCATTCTAGTTGTCATATTTCTTACTTGCTCTAGACATTGGTGACATAAGATACTTCAATTTCTTCTGTTTCTTATTATTAGTAGGTTTCCTTTTATTTTGATATTGTTGTGTGCTGATTAAGATAGTAAAAATGGTTGCTTGCATTGTATGATGAGTGCTTCTGAAGCACCTTATTTTAGTACGTAGTGGAGGAGTAGGAACATCAGTTCTGCATCACATATATTGACTTTGTTTTGCCTGTTATTTTGGTTTTGACCGCTGTTATATTATTTTCTTTGTCGCATGCACAAGCTCACCGAGGATAATGCGTGTCTAACCTGGTTTCAAATATAAAAACTCAGTAAGTTCTTAAATTATTTTTTCTGTTTTGATTCGTGAGACGAGTGATAATAATACAAGATAAGATGTTTCGATACTAAAATAAAAACCAAGGATTAGTTTTTAGGAATTTAAATAAAATTCTAAATTTTTTAGAAACTTGTGTGATTTTTATAGATTAAGAGATTAATATAATAATGTTATGATCTAGACTATCAGATATCCGGTGTTTTGTTTTCTGGGTCATAGTTTGCGGCCTTGCGTTGATATTTACCGCAAAACGACACTTAATAATATTCAGGAAGAAAATTCTCCACTTTGCAACGAAAAGAGAGTAATTGTGGACACTGGGAGGCCTTGAGCTCGGGTCCCATAAAACACTTCTACAATTTCATGAAAATTCTTTAAAAGTAGAAGGCATGTCTCCCTCAAATATTATCAAATCAGTATATTACCACTAAAATTTTATGGTCTAGATCTGTTTATATAGTTAATATTGCCACCACGCAGTTCTTGTATATTCTCTGGAATCGTTCCTGTGGCTAAAGCCATCAACTTCCCGTGTTACTTCTTACTCCGTAAATACTGTTGTGGAAAACGTGGATGAAGGTTGGTCCAGCCTATTCTAGCGACTACGTTTCTGACCTTTATTTACGAGCCACGACCTTGATTCTGCATTATCTAATATCTTTCATTTGCTTATGTTATCCATAACCAAGAAAAAAAATTCAGAATTTTAAAGAATTATCCTTAAATGATCTCACTTTGTAACAAGAGGTTGAGTATTTCTAAAATGTAAACAACGAAAAAAGTCACCATTTTTGTTGAAAAAGAAAGTCATAAAGTCATATAAAGAATTTTAAAATAAAAAATAAAAAATATATCATAAAGTCCAAAAGTGACCACCGTCTGCGTCTATTTTTTATTGTTATTTTCTTTTACTTTTCTTTTTCTTTTAATAATTTGGTAATAATAAGTTAAATTATAATAATACTTAGAGAATAAGAAAGGTTGGCAAAAGCTTAGTAAACCATACAAAAGAACACCATAAGAGGATTAAGAAGTTTGAATGAGTTTTTTGTAACTTATAAACTAAAACTAGTTCATATATAAAGTAAAAGTAAAAATATTCAAAATTATATGAGAGATATTTTGCAAATTAACTATACATATACTTTTTTATTTTAATTTTTTCTGTTGAACGAGTACTTATTATAGAAAAGTTTATCAGAATATACTTTACTAACCATCAATTATATAAAAAAATATAAAAATATAAATGATGAATGTTATATAGAAAATTCATATCAATGCAACTTTTAATTTCTTATATATTATTTGAATTAAAATTAAACGCTAATACTTTGGTAAAAAGGATATTAATTATGAAACAATGTTATCGTACAAAATACATTCTATTTATTTATTTTGGTGGGATATTCAAAACACGGTAAAAAAATATAACAGGCAAAAGAGACAAACATATTCGACTCAACACGTGACTTTTTTCATCATTTGACTCCGTATGCATTAAATCTTTCTGCTAATTTTTTCCCGCGCATTTCTTTAATAAAAAGACTTTGTTTGTTTCAATGAAAATTTTGTTGCTAAATATACAGTGTTCACAAATCTTCATATAAGTTTAATAGAAGCTTTTAACCTTGATGAAAAGGTTATAATCAGAATATTCCCCGAAAACAAATATTTATTCATGCAAACTACAACTTTTATAAAGGAAGTTGTGGCCTTAAGATCTGATGAGAGGAGGATCCTTTAACTTCACAGGTTGGCCCATGTTATTTCGGACTCTTTCAAGCTCATATACCATATGCGACACCATGTCTCACTCAAACCTCATCATCATCATGTTTCATAATCTCTTCCCCCAAAGGGTAGCTACCATATACCCTATTGTAATCTCATGTCTCAACCAGCATCATTGATTTCATTTAAGATATTCTAGTTGAAGAAATTAAGGACCTGTCTATAAGAAAAAAATTTGATGGAGAATTACTTGAGCTGGGCACAGGCTTTGGCTTCCGCATGGGGATTCATGTTGGTGGTGGCTCTCATGTGTTGCTGCCTCAGCACCAAACCAAGACAAGATAGTGATGTTATCTCTGGAAATGGTGGTTGCACTTGTGATGGTGGTGGTCATGCTTGTGTTTGATTCTTTTTTCTTCTTCCTCTCTCCTTTTAGGTAAAACACTCTCTTCCATCTTTTTCTCAGGTCTAGTTAGTTTGGTTAGAGCTATTTGATGTATATAGCTGATTAATTCAGTGTTAATTTTGTTTCTGCATACTTTTTAGTTCAGATATTAAGACATGGTAGTGTCGTGTCAGAGGTGATTATTCACACACCATTTTGTAATTTAGTAACATTCAGCTTATTAAATATAGAATAGAAAGGTTCGCATATATATGCAGTGTTCTGAATTTGTGCTTCGAATGAGTTTTCTTGCCATTTTTCTTTCTCCTTCTTGCTTTTATTTATAGCTTTATATTTCACAGTTTTCCTTTCCCATTGTTACTGATACAACAAAGAATAAACTAAAGACTGAAAGTCCTTAGGTTTTGTTCCAGTGAATTTTTTTCATAAATACTTAAAAACTAAAAGAGTTCAATTTAACTTGCGAATCCATCTTGCTTGACGCTTTCTTTCGTGATGAGCCTGGAATATTGTTAGGTAGAAAAGTTGAATACATTACATCTGCACGACACCTTTTTCAATAAAAGAATGTTGGGTAGGTGTTCAAGGAAGAACTTTGCCTTTCTCCCTCCAACTAATAATTACAAGTTCAAATTTTTAATACTAAACCTAATAAGACACACTCACTCAACCATTCTTACACTCTTCACCTTTAATTCAGAAACTTAAATTAACAACAAATTGCTCAATTGGCTCCATAATTAGCACCAAGAGAAACCACTGATACAACCCTCTGCATAGCTCCTCCTTTCCTTATTAAATACTATAATTAATTACCAATCCTCTCTCTCATTACAACTATTGTGAACATAATTAACCACAAACCATTAAGATAAATTCTACAAACATTATTCTCTCTCCAAGTATTAGTTAATTTGGTACAAATACGAGATAATGAGTCTCAATAACTTACAGAGTATTTTTTTTAAAATGATATAAATTATCAAGACCATTAACACAACAATTAAAAAGGAATAAAAGAAGAGAGATTTAAAATAAAAAATAAGATTGTTTAAATTAGATTAAAAAAATAATAAAAATTTGTAAATATATTTTAAAAAGAAGAAAAAAATAATACTATTATATTATCATCCATCATATAGGTTCTTATAACAATTTATATTGATATTAAAGCTACATTATTAACATCAAAGAATTGTTTTTATTTTGTGCAAAACTGAAAGAAACAACTACACAAATTATTGAAGTTTCATATGAAAGGACTATCTAAATTGTATGATTTACAATGAGAAATATCTTGTATACAAGAAATAAGTCAACTCTGTCAACTCCTTAAATATCCGCTACAGTGAAAAAACATATAATTTTACATCAATAGTTTTTAAATAGGAATGTACATATTGAATAAAATTTTATCAAACTCATCCTTTAATCCAATTAAACAAGTTTTTGATAGAATTGTATGTAATTTGTACATATTTTTTTATTCAATCCAACCTAATTATACTATGGGAAGAAAGAATTTTAAAGATGATTACTTCTTTTAGCTATGATTAAAGAATCATTATTGATTTATTGCTTGTTAAAGTTCATATTTTTAATGACAGTTAATAATTGTTATTAAATATAAAACTAAAGAATGAAAGTAAAAATAATAATTGTTGTTATATGATTTTTTTTTAAATTATTTTTATCAAAATATGTTACCGACAATATCTATTGTTTCAAATAATATATATTTTCAAAATAAAAATATACTATAACAGTTAAAAAGAATTATTTAGATTTAGATAATAAAAGGAGGGAGAGAGAATATGAAATTGAGAGAAAGTGAAAAAAAAATTTAATATAGTAGATATTTCAAAATAATTATTATCCTAGATATTTTAGTAGATATATACAAAACATATTTTTCCATTAAAATTTGTAATTTTAAAAATAAAATAGATTTTTTAAAATAATATTTTAAAAAATAATTTATATTAATTAATATTTAACTTTAAACATACATATTTAATTAATAAAATAATAATTGTATCATTATTCATATTAATATTATTTAATAATTTGAATTAGTTGTGTTGCATATTTAACCTACAAAACTTGTTACTCAATATGTAAAAGTTTCACCCTATTTTTAAAATATTCAATCCAGTGCATTTGAGATCAATTAAGTCAAATTGAAGGTGGGATTAGTGAAACCTAATGAACACTATTACACTTGAGAAGATAAAATTACAATATATTTCATTTAAAAATCACAGTTTTTTATTACAAACTATCTTGTTTAAGGTAAAACTATTATAGAGGCAAAGTTTTAGGTGTTAAATATTTTTAATTAATATATATATATATATATATATATATATATATATAAACTTTCTTAATTTTTTCATATATTAAAAAAAATTAATTTAAGTCATTAATACAAATTTCATTATTTTCGTAATTAATTTATTAATAGGATTATGTCATTTAGAAATACCTATAAATGTTGTTGTAGAAAATATTTTTTGTGTATCACTCTTTAAAGAGATATTACATGCTACTTTATATCTAATTATATTCTAACAAAGTAAATTGCAGTGAAATGAATATAGAATTTAAATTTCATAAAAAGTATTCATATATAGAAGCGTTTTGATTAAAAATATTGGACCACACAGTCTATTCTTTGCTTCCAAAAAACAATTAGAATATAATATTTTTAAAATATTTTATTTAAATCTCAAAAATTAGAAATATGAAAAATATTCTATTGATCTTGAACCAATTTTAAGTTTTGTGAACATTTATTTTATAGTGATGTTATTATTAAAGGTCCAATAAGGGATACTAAAAGAAAATATCATTGTTTACCTAAATTTATATATTAGCACAAAATCAGATGATCATCAAATATCAATGTTGATTATTTGTTAATATGTAATATAAGAAATATTATGAAGTATATAAAATTTTGCATAGATAATTTTTTTATGATAGTATTATTTATTATTAAAAATAAATTGTAATAAAAATTTTAGAAATATGACAACACATTTGCATGTAATAATACTCTTTGGTTCTTATATACTTGCACAGCTTCTGCTGCTGCTGCTGGATCAGCAACCACAGCTTCTGCTGGAACTCATGGTTCCATGGGTCATTATGGAAGCGCTGGAAGAGGAGGCGGCTGTGGCGGTGGCGGTGGAGGATGTGGTGGTGGAGGGTGCGGAGGTGGAGGTTAAGGTGATGTTACATGGTGCAGGATGTGTGTTTAGTTTGTATATTTTTCAATTTAGTATTTGTATATGTTTGGCATGTTTTTTTTTTATTCTATACTTTTATTTTTTATTAATATAACTTTGTAATAATTAAAATATTATTTATTATTATTGTTTATGTCTGGATCTATAATCTTCTATCCTCAATAGTACAATGGATTATTTTGTAATTCTTCTGTGTGTCATAAAGAAATAAAAGTATTTTAATTTAAAAAAATTAATATAATTTATATATATATATATATATATATATATATATATATATTAGTAAAAATACGAGAAAGAAAAAAATAAAAAATAGATATATTTAAAGAGTAAAAAAAATGTTTAAAATGTGTTTCCACTAATTATATATAAAAATTATTTCTTTGTACTTTTTTTTTAATTGGAAAGAAAAAAATTGTTATATTTTTTAAAGAAAAAACAGTTATTACAATTTATATATTTAAAAATTTATTAAAATATGAGAAAGAAAAAAATATATTTAAAAAGTTTAAAAAGAAAATAAAAAAAATATAAAGTAATTATAAAAAAATAAAATACACAACCACTTTAACTCTTATTACCACTAGTTATTTATAATGGGAGTTTCTTTTTACTCTTTCTTTACATTAAAAAGATAAAAATAAAGTTTCATAATTAAAAAAATGTTTTTATAATTTATATTTTTTTAAAAATAAACATACGAGAAAAATAATGACACCTAATTAAAAGAAAAAATAAATACATTTAAAAAATTAAGAGAAAAGAAACTAAGTATATAGAAATTACGAACATTTAATCCACTAATATAAATAACAAAAATACATTTCATTAGTTTTAACCAAATTTTAATTTTAAAACAATAAAATTAAGATAGGTCAAAACTAATTCTCTTACCGCTTGAATTCAAATTAAAAGACAAAAAGAAAGGAGGAACCTGCGAGGAGTTTAGAGCACCAAATATATTTTGGATTCTAAATATACGTCAAATATATTCAAATAAATTAGCGTGAAATGAAGCCAATAATAATTTTTTCTACCAGTCTTTTAATTTTCTTATTTATCTCAGATAGTAATTAAATTAATTATATATAAGGTAATATTATTAAAGTATTTTAGTTTCTCCCTGTACACATGTCTAAATTATTTATATTAATTATGATACCTAAAACAGTTTTATGTTCAACGCATTTAGTTATTTTCTGTTGGTTCATGATACTAAACTTAAAAGGAGCACCCACGTACATAATCGTTTAATGGAGCTTTTTCTTAATAATTTGACAAAATTTGTGCTAGGACGAAGTCATGGTCAATATTGACGAGCATATTCGTCAAACAGATAGGGTATGAACAGCGCGTTACAAGTTACGTTACGCATCTCTCACACTAAACGTAAGGACGAGTAAGGAAAAGTAAACATAGCTGAATTTATGATTGAGGGGGAGTGGAAGCACTATAAAAATGTCAAGGATCATTGCTGAATTTATTAACCACTTTCATCGTCATATGCGAGATGGAATTATTTGTAGTATTTATCATTGTAGTTGTTTGCGTATTCATCTTACTTGTAATATTAACCACGTTGTGCCGAGTTGGAAGTGGCGCTGGTGCTGCTGCTGGTGCTGCTGGAGGCTTTGACCACCACAACAACCATCATCTTCACGGTGGAATGATGATGGGTGGGATTATTGGTGGCACGGCCGTTATTGACAGTGGAGGAGGAGGAGGAGGAGCTTGTGGTGGTGGTGATGG